GAACCCACGGGCTCAGGCAATCCACTCACCTCAGCCTCCCAAAGGCACAGGATTGCAGGCTGAGCCACCGAGCCCAGCTGGCTTTTTATTTTTTATTAAAATTACAACCTCTCTAAGTGGCTTTTAGAGATCCCTGTGGTCTACTCTTCATCCCCCACTATCTCTCTGACTCTATCTCCTGTCCTTTCCCTCTTGTTCTGTTTCTTCCAGCCCCATTGCCCATCCTGTTTCTCCATCCTGCCAGGGAAACTGTATTGCCGGTTAGTGGTAACCTATGACCACAAGCTCAGCGAATTAAAGAATAAACAAATATTATCTTTCTGTTCTTTAGGCCTGAAGTCTTACACATCTCACTGGGTAATAATCAAGGTGTCTTTGGGGCTTTGTTTTTTGGGGGATGCTTTTGAGGAGAAACCTTCATTTTGACATACCAGCAACTGGGCACTCTCACATTTCTTGGCTCTTATTTTCCTTCCTCCGTCATCCAAGGCAGCAACTTGTCCTTCTTCCATAGTCATGCTCCCTCTGCCATTCTTCTTATGCCTTTCACCTTTCAGGTCCCTTATAATTGTATTGGTCACTCCTGGATAATCCGAGATGATCTTCTTACTTTCTGGTTGGCTAACTGGAGGCCCTAATGGCATCCACAACCTCTCTTCCTCTTGCTTTGTATTACAAGTCCTGGGGATTGGATGTGGATGTCTTTGAGGGACCATTATTCTGTTTATTACAGAAATTTCTGCCTCAAAGTCCTTACTTGGTCTTCTTTCTGATTGGAATATCTTTCACTTCAAAGCTTTCCAGCCCCTCCTTTGGTTTATTTGGGTCTCTGTTCAGTTTTAACATCATGAGAGGTGATCTTTTTTTTTTTTTTACTGATTACATTATGTAATCTCCAGAAAGAGGAATTTACATGTTTGTATATGGCTGTGTTTTTATCACTTTGAATAGTCCTGGTACATGGCAGCTCTCTGTAAACACATTTTAGCCTGGTGAATGAATTAATGAATGAGGGAACTTCACTGTCTGTAGAAATCATAGCGATAGCTAATAAGTGATACACAAGCTAGAGTGAATAAAATATAGTTGGCCCTTGGTAACCAGGGGGATTTGGTTCCAGGATTCCATTTCCCAGGGATACCAAAATTGAAGATGTTGAAGTCCCTTATATACGTGAAGTATTTGCATATAACCTATGCACATATTCCTATATACTTTAAATCATTGCTAAATTACATGTAATACCAAATGCAATGCCTATATATCACTTCATTTACACAGTGTAGTACTTAGTATGCAGGAAATTGCAGTTTTGCTTTTTGGAACTTTGTGGAATTTTTTTTCCCCAAACATTTTTGATCCACTGTTGGTTGAATCCACAGATGCTGAACACATAAATGTTGAAGACCAACTATAATGGCAAAAAATTGCAGAACTTTTTTTTTTGTCTTTGGTTGGCTACTTATCCATTTTCAATTTTCTTATGTCCCTTGACATGATTGCAATTTGGTGTATGTGCAGTTGACCCTCATCCATGGAAACTTCTAGGCCTTCTCTTTATGACCACACTGAATAACTTATCACCCCTGTGCCTTATCCTGGGGCTTTTGATACTCATTTCTGGGAAGAAATCCTTTTTGAACGAGGATTTTTTTTTTTTTTTTTTTTGAGTTGGAGTCTTACTCTGTTGCCCAGCCACTGCAGCCTTGACCTGCTGGGCTCCGGTGATCCTTCCGCCTCAACCTTCCAAGTAGCTGGAACTACAGGCGTGTGCCACCACGCCCAGCTAATTTTTTTGATTTATTGTGGAGATGAGGTCTCGCCAAGTTGCCCAGGTGGGTCTCGAACCCACGGGCTCAGGCAATCCACTCACCTCAGCCTCCCAAGGCGCGGGATTACAGGCTGAGCCACTGAGCCCAGCTTGAATGAGGCTTCTGATGTCTAGTTCTGAGATAGCTCCCCTACACAAGGAAAAAACATTTTTTTATTTTCATAGGTCTCAGACAATATTGCCAGCTTTCTATTTGCATTTCCTTTGAAATATATACCCATCTGCAGCACATTTGCCTTTTTCAAAGTCTGTTTGCATATCATTGCCCCCAGGTGTCACCTTCATTCTCCTAGAGGGGAAAGAATAAGGTTATGTGTGACACAAATCATGCAACTGAATGTTTCTTCAGAAATGTGGTGTATATTTCTGCAACCTTATTTTATACAAATTGAACTGTTAAAAAATTGAAGAAGATAGATTTTACACATTTACAAAAAAGGTTTTTATAAAGACCTAGTGCTGTATTTTGGATTAGTGAACTTTATAACCTAGAAGTAATTGGGAAATTGCCTTCTCAAAATGTAAACATCCAGAAAGAGACTCTCCCTTCTCTCCAGACACTTCTTATTTATTCATGACAATGTATTAAACATGGTCATGGACCATTGTGTACCAATAGGTACACATTAATTAATATTATAAAAGTTTAAACCACTGGAAGTTAACTTTGTTTCGGAAATTTTACTTAATTCAGAACTTGGTAATATCCTGACCATAGTTTTCAATGTGTCATGAATTTGAAGCACATCTTTTATGATAATCAGGACAAATATTTTTTATCCATGTAGATGTATATGGGTGCCTTTAGTAGGCATTTCATGTAATGGCACCTTTCCTGCTCATTATGTGCTCTAATAATTTCTAGTTCTTTTTTCTAATTTTTTTTTTTTTGAGTTGGAGTCTCACCCTGTTGCCCAGTCTGGAGTGTAGTGGCATGCTCACAACCACTGCAGCCTTGACCTGCTGCACTCAGGTGATCCTTCCACCTCAGCCTTCCAAGCATCTGGAACTACAGGTGCGTGCCACCCTGGGTGGCTAATTTTTTGATTTATTACAGAGATGAGGTATCGCCAAGTGCCAGACTGGTTTTGAACCCTGGGCTCAGGTAATTCTCTCTCCTCCACCTCCCAGAATGGTTAGAAGCCGTGCCTAGCTTCTAAATGCTTATTACAAGTTTTAACTTTACTTCATAGTGCACTAATGATATATAGTCTTAAAAACACACAGGCCTATATTTCTATATTTTAGACTTTCTTTTTTTCTTAAAAATACTTCCAGATCCTTCTTTTTTTTTTTTTCTGGAGTCTCACTATGTCACCCAGACTGGAGTGCAGTGGCATGCTCATGGCTACCACAGCCTCCACCTGCTGGGCTCTGGCAATTCTTCCACCTCAGCCCTCCAAGTAGCTGGAACTACAGGTGTGCTCTGCAAAGCCTAGCTAATTTTATTTATTTATTTATTTATTTATTTATTTATTTATTGTAGAGATGAGGACTCACCAAGCTGCCTAGGCTGGTCTTGAACCCCTGGATTCAGGCAATCCTCTTGCCTTGACCTCCCAAAGTGCTGGGACTATAGGCTTGAGCCACCACACCCGGCCCAGAGCCTTCACTTTTTATTCATAGTGATTCTTGACATCTTTGATTCTGTCATTAGGAACATATTTCTTTGTCTGCTCCTGTTAGATATAGCCTTTCAGTTCTCATGAAAACTATAGTTGTGTCCCTTTACTATTTCAGATAACCCAGTTTTTATCCATATTAACACAGAAAAATAAGATTAAATATTTTTGTACAAAATTCTATTCTTATTCAGGAATACTTGAATATGTGTATATAAACACTCCTACATATTTGATATTTAACATTATAAAAGGTTTAACCAACTACAAATTTTAGTGAGACATTTTGCAGAACACTGTCTTCACACCAACTGCAAATTTGAGAGTTTTTAAAAACTACCTTCATGTTCAATAATTCACTAGAAAGATTCTCAGAACTCACTGAATACTTTTATGCTCATGTTTACTGATTTTTACAGGGAAAAAATGCATATTACAGTTAGCCAAGAGAAAAATTAAATACGATAAGAGTTTAGGGAAGCACCAAATGAGGATTCACCTTAAATCACATTGTTGTTCTTTCTGACATGGTAAGCTCTACTCCTCAACCCCCTAAGGACTGGCCAGCCACAACACTAAATTATATTGTTCTACTATCCAGAGTGACCCAGTGTTTGTTCCCAGGCAAACAAAAGACACTCTCCTCAGGCATGACACTTCAAGGTCCTAGTGGTTACCTCTCAGATGCTGAGGATAAGACCTCTTTTTTTAGTTAGGTTAATTTCTTTTAAGGATATACAATATAAATGTGAATATACAAAATGTTGATTTTATTATTACATTTTTTTAAAGTTCCTTTTGATTTACAATTCATGCACATAATTTATTCATTTTGTAATTTATCATGCAAGATTTTTAAATGACTAGGAAATTTACTAGAAATAGTAACAAGTTAAATGTGTGAGTCATATTAATTTTTTTTAATTGTCTTTTATTTCTACCAAAGATTTTACAAGAGACATAGTCTGGTTCTAAACTGGTCTCATGCAAACCAGAGAACATAGTATAGTTGAAAAACACAATCTGAACATTCCTTATGTTCATTAACATTTCCTGCTGTGTGCTAGGTGTCAGATCTTGATAACACTGAACACCGAAGAGACTTATCTACCTCTCAATTCTGTGTCCGTATAGGAGGCAAGATTCAAACTGAGACGGACACTGTTTCAGAAGCAGAGCCACATGAAGAATGGTTCTGCCACCAAATCTGGAAACAAATTGTAGGTGACTTAACCACATCTCAAGACTCTATGACAAATGGCTCTCGATTCTCCAAAGACAGTAATTTTACATGCCAGGTTGAGGCAGGACTATCTATAAGTCACATAAAACAGAAACCTCACCAGTGTAATGAATGTAAAGAAGCCTTCAGTGATGTCGCCATCTTTGATCTTCATCAACAATTACACTCAAGAGAGAAGTCTCATACATGTGATCAATGTGGGAAAAGCTTCTGCTATAGTTCAGCTCTTCGTATTCATCAGAGAGTCCACAAGGGAGAGAAACTCTATAAGTGTGATGTGTGTGGCAAAGAATTCAGTCACAGTTCATATCTACAAACTCATCAGAGAGTCCACACTGGAGAGAAACCTTTCAAATGTGACCATTGTGGGAGGGGCTTCAGTAGTAGATCAGCACTTAATGTTCATCACAAATTACACACAGGAGATAAACCTTATAATTGTGAGGAATGTGGGAAGGCCTTCATTCATGATTCACAGCTTCAGGAACACCAGAGAATCCATACTGGGGAAAAACCATTCAAATGTGATACATGTGATAAGAGCTTTCGTGTTAGGTCAAGACTTAATAGACATTCTATGGTACACACAGGAGAAAAACCATTCAGATGTGATACATGTGGTAAGAGCTTTCGTCAGAGATCAGCACTTCATAGTCATTGCTTGGTTCACATAGGAGAGAAACCATACAAATGTGAGCAGTGTGGAAAAGGCTTCATTTGTAAGCGAGATTTTTATAAACATCAGATGGTCCATACAGGAGAGAAACCATATAATTGCAAAGAATGTGGAAAGAGCTTCAGATGGTCCTCATGTCTTTTGAACCATCAGCGAGTCCACAGTGGAGAAAAACCATTCAAATGTGAAGAATGTGGGAAGGGATTTTATACAAACTCACAACGGTCCTCCCATCAGAGAGCCCACAATGGAGAAAAGCCGTACAAATGTGAAGAATGTGGGAAGGGCTACAAAAGGAAGTTAGATCTTGAGTTTCACCAGAGGGTCCACACAGGGGAGAGACCCTATAATTGTAAAGAATGTGGGAAGAGCTTTGGCTGGGCCTCGTGTCTTTTGAAACATCAGAGACTCCACAGTGGAGAAAAACCATTCAAATGTGAAGAATGTGGGAAGAGATTTACTCAGAGTTCACAACTTCATTCCCATCAGACAATCCACACTGGAGAAAAGCTGTATAAATGTCAGGAGTGTGAAAAGGGCTACAACAGTAAGTTTAATCTTGATATGCACCAGAGAGTCCACAGAGGAGAGAGACCCTTTAATTGTAAGGAATGTGGAAAGAGCTTTAGCTGGTCCTCATGTCTTTTGAAACATCAGAGACTCCACAGTGGAGATAAACCATTCACTTGTGGAGTGTGGGAAAATATTTACCCAGAATTTTCAGCTTCGTTCCCATCAGAGAGTCTACCTGGCAGAAAAGCCATACAAATGTGAGAAGTATACCAAGGACTTTAGCTGGACTTCAACTCATTTGACACATCCGAGATGTGTAGGGGCTTCCCAACCCCTAGGCCACGGACTAGTAGGAACCAGGCCATACAGCAGGAGGTGAGCAGTGGCTGAGGGGGCAAAGCTTCATCTGTATTTACAGCCATTCCCCATTGCTCACATTATCATCTGAGCTACACATTTGTCAGATCAGCCACGGCATTAGATTCGTGTAGGAGTGCAAACCCTATGGTGAACTGAGCATGCAAGAGATCTAGTTTGTGTGTTCCTTATGAGAATCTAATGCCTGATGATCTGAGGTGGAGTCAAGGTAGTGATGCTAGCTCTGGGGAGTGGCTGCAAATACAGATGAACATGAGCAGGTTTGACTACACATCCTTCCCCTTCCCCCCCCTGTGGAAAAATTGTCTTCCACAGTTTCCATGGTTCCTGATGCCATAACGGCTGGGATTTTCTGCTATATCAGATAAAAACCATTCATATGTGAGGACTGTGAGAAGAACATTGTTCTTAATTCCTGCCTTAAAGACCAACAAAGATCAGAGTGGGGAAAACCATACAAATGTGAGGACTATAGGAAGGGCTACAACAGGTGCTTGAATCCTGATATGCATCAGAAGATACACAGGAGAGGAACTATAGAATTGTGAGATTGGTATGTGCTTCAGTCAGGCCTCTTTCAGCTTCATCAGAGTGTCCACATTGGAGAGAAACCTTAGTAATGTGATGTATGTGATAAACTCTTCTCTGTCTTCATGACTACAATCTCATTTGAGAGTCCACAGTAGAGAGAAACACTAAAAATCTGACGTGATAAGCACTTCCGTTTGAGTTCATATGTTACAATTTATCACAGAGTACATACTGGTAATAAATTCCATCCAGTTTCATAGATGAGAAAACATTGTTTAAGTTAAGGTCAGTCTTTCAGCATAGCTCAGCCTAACACAGTGGTCCCGGGAGAGAGTGGTCTTTCACCATAGTGGAGAGCCCTTCACTCAGAAGTTTGACAATTATAGTTATCATTCAAGAGACAGACCTTAGAAAGAATAAGAGTTTATTCAGGTATTTACAAAACTCTAATGATGACATGTCAAAAGTGATGTCCACTACAATATAAGCTACATGTGTTTTTCTTTGCTGCTGAATCTTCATAACCTTAATATTGACTAGCAGTTTGTATGTGTATTCCAAACATGGTAAATGAATCAAAGGAGAGAAATACAGTATTTAAAATTGTTTCTAAAAGAGGAAACCTTCAAAAAAATAATTCTGGTAAAAATGAGTTGAAATGCAGAGTACACTCAGTACTGTAGTCCACAGCATTATTTTCAATAGTATCTTTTTGCACTTGGCTCCTGGCTTTACTCATCCTCTGTTCTGAAGTTATTATTTGTTGCTCTGTCTAGTGTTTTATTGGTTGTATAGAGTAAAACTTCAGCAATCATTTGTAATTTTTCTCACAATACCTGATGAAAAAAGTTTTATTACCTTTGCAATAACAGACCACATATTTCACAGATTTTTTTAAAACAGTGTTAAGGTCAGATTTATAGTAACACTTATAAGTGTTAGAGGTAGTTAGTTACACTGACAAAAATTTTCTCAATCAGTTCTGAACTGATCATGATTTGTGATTCTGCATTTTTATGCAGGTTTTGATATGATGCCTTCTCATTGCTGTAGCGTTTATTTGATTAAACTTCTCAGGTAGAAACTATGTTAAATTTGAAGGACAATTTTTGGCAACCTTGTTATGTAATATTTCCCCCCACTGTCTTTATGAAATACCAAGATAAAATTGGATTTGGTAATTTCATCAGATATATTCATTATGGGCCAAGAGTAACATTGACCTTTCTTCTTTATTGGCTAAAAATATATCTTTTGGAAAGCAGTATATATAGACTGTATAAGGTGCAACTATTTGACTTGAAAGTCATAGGATAGGAAATTATTACATTAAAACTCTGAAAAGTAGACCACATGAATGATGTCACTCTACTTTAAAATGGAAATAATAAGTGTTCAACAATTTGAATTTATGTGAATTACACTTATTCCTATAATAACATGAAGCCAATAAAATGATTGTGTGGGTATATAGTAAAAGGGAAGAACATGGTGTAGGCTTTGTGATATCAGTTTGTAGCCTTCATAACATAATCAAATGAATATCTTTGTGTATTTATTTTTTTAGTAGTGTGTACATGCATAATGTGTGAATGAATAATCTTACTAATTTTCTGTGGCAACATTGACATTTTTCATTTTCCCATTTTATAATTTTATGCATTATTTTAAAATTTCTTGGTATCAGATTTACCAAAGCAGTTAGTTATGTCAAATAAAATTTGAAGCGGGGCTCGGTGGCTCAGCCTATAATCCCGTGCCTTGAGAGCCTGAGATCAGTGGATTGCCTGAGCCCGCGGGTTCGAGACCCGCCTGGGCAACTTGGCGAGACCTTATCTCTACAATAAATCAAAAATCAGCTGGGAGTGGTAGCGCGTGCCTGTAGCTCCAGCAATTTGGAAGGCTGAGGCGGAAGGATCGCCGGAGCCCAGCAGGTCGAGGCTGTGATGACCAGGAGCGGCCACTGCACTCCAGTCTGGGCGACAGAGTGAGACTCCAACTCAAAAAATAAATTAATTAATTAAATAAAATAAAAATTGAAAAACTGTTAATGTTAATCACCTATAAATTCTCTGAATAAAATTATATTGTCATATGACATAAGTTCAAAATTAAGTAAAAGAATTTTGGGACCGGGCTCGGTGGCTCAACCTGTAATCTCAGCACTTGGGGAGGCCGAGGTGAGTGGATTGCCTGAGCCCACGGGTTCGAGACCTGCCTGGGCAACTTGGCGAGACCTCATCTCTACAATAAATCAAAAATCAGTCGGGTGTGGTAGCGCGCCTGTAGTTCCAGCTATTTGGAAAGCTGAGGCGGAAGGATCGCCGGAGCCCAGCAGGTCGAGGTTGCGGTGGCCGGGAGCAGCCATTGCACTCTAGTCTGGGTGACAGAGTGAGACTCCAACTCAAAAAAAAAAAAAAAAAAAAAAGAATTTTGGAAGTCATTTCAAAATGAAAAATTATCTAGCCATTTGAATTCTCAGATAAATTGATGAATGTGGTCAACTGTCTTTGTAATTAATGTGTATGGTTCTGCTTTGTGAATAAATTAAGGAGCAAGCAAATCCAGGAGAAAGTGGGTATAATTCTGTTGTGGAGGTGAAAAAAAAAGTCAACAGATTCTTTGACGAACAGGTGTGCATGGGCAGGGAACATGACAGTAGAGCTTCCCAAGTGCGAGGAACTAGTTAGGACAAAAAGCTGGTTTGAATGCCAACTCACAATTTATATACCATGGTGATATCTTAAGTGTATTAGGTTCAAGGGCTTTCTTCAGCAAAGTGTCTAATTGAGATATATTAGATTTTAATAATTAGTGTTCTAAACTACATCTTGTCAGGAGGTTAGGTACCTATTATGATCCACACTGTTTCAGTTTGGATAGTGGGTCGGAGGTCCCTAAGACCATCTCCAGGTTGTGATTTGCTAAGGATAATTATAGTAACAGAATACAAAACAGAATTTGTGAAAGGAATTGGCTCATGGGCAATGTCTAGAGAAAACCAGGTGCAAACTTGAACGAGATCTCTCTGCATGGTGTTACATAAAACAATTTATCTAGTATTGAATTATGATAGTACTTATGAAATGTCTATAATGAAAGCTCATTAGCAACCAGTACCAACGATTCTTATTGGGACTGATTGTGTGTATCATCTGTCAGCATGTAACAAGATTCCAGACGCCATGAAGGAGAGCAGAACAATGTGAAGAATAAACTGCAGGCCAGGCTCGGTGGCTCAGCCTGTAATTCCAGCACTTTGGGAGGCTGAGGTGAGTGAATTGCCTGAGCCTGTGGGTTTGAGACCCACCTGGGCAACTTGGCGAGACCTCATCTTTACAATAAATAAAAAATTAGCCAGGCGTGGTAATGCGCACCTGTAGTTCCAGCTACTCGGAAGACTGAGGCGGAAGGATCGCTGGAGCCCAGCAGATCAAGGCTGCGTTGGCCGGGAGGGGCCGCTGCACTCCAGTCTGGGCAACAGAGTGAGACTCCAACTCAAAAAAAAAAAAAAGAATAAACTGCACTGTACAGTTTAGCCATGGGGAACCACTCTTACTCGATATGAAAACATGGCACCCCTTCCAAACTCTATGTTCTTGACACCAGCTGATGGCCAGTCTTGCAAATAGTCCTTCAAAAAAAAAAAAGGTTACCAGTATTACTCAGACTTGCTATGTTAACTTTCTGTGTATGTGGTATCAGAAAAGTAGGGCCTGCGGTTTTCTGGTTTATTGCTATTTTTTGAAACTCACCAGATACCAGAATAGCACATCTCCAGGTAATTGTTTGTAAACAAAAACTCAGCAGATCAAATAAAAGATACTTGGCTGGGTGCTGTGGCTCACACATGTAATCCCAGCACTTTGGGAGGTGGAGGTGAGAGGTTTGCCTGAGCCCATGGGTTCGAGACCAGTCTGGGCAACTTGGTGATATCTTGCCTCTAAAATAAATAAATAAATAAATAAATAAATAAATAAATAAATAAATAAATAAATAAAATTAGCTGGATGCGGTGGCATGCACCTGTAGTTCCAGCTACTTGGAAGGCTTGAGGTGGAAGAATTGCCTGAGCCCAGCAGGTTGAGGCTGTGGTGGCCATGAGCATGCCTTTGCACTCCAGCCTGGGTGACAGAGTGAGACTCCAAGTTAAAAAAACAACAAACACACACACACAAAAATTTATGATGATGAAAAATACCACAAGTAGGGCTTACTTCAAAGTTCATGTGTGCTTGGTGACGTGAATATATGGAGCTAACTGATTTGTTTTTCTTGTATATATTTCCATCTTTCAAAGTGCATGAGTTCTTGACCTTAAATCACAGTGACTACTGAATAACCTAGCTGCCGTGGCCTGTGCACCTGCCTTGGGGGTCCCTAGAGAGAGCAGCGAGAGATTAAGAAAGACACAGACACAAAGACGTACAGAAAAGCTGAGGCCAAGTGGGACACTCCTTTGTTGGAGAAGTGGCCCCGAACTAGCTCAGCATGTTTGTTTGTTTATTTATTAGTTGAAGTCTCCCTCTGTCGCCCAGGCTGGAGTACAGTGGCACACTCACGGCCACCGCAGCCTCGACCTGCTGGGCTCAGGTGATCCCTCAGCCTCAGCCTTCCAAGTAGCTGGAACTACAGGTGCGCGCCACCATGCCTGGCTAATTTTTTGATTTATTGTAGAGATGAGGTCTCGCCAAGTTGCCCAGATTGGTCTTGAACCCGTGGGTTCAGACAATCCTCTCACCTCGGCCTCTCAAAGTGCTAAGATCATAAGCATGAGCCACTGCCACCGGCCGCATGTTTATTTTATAATCAAGCACAAAGGAAGTTGGGAGGGATTCAAGGTCCATGAGGGAGTTATAATGGAATTTTGTTGCTACCTAAATGGCCAGCTGTTCCGCAGTTATCTTGTTGCCAAGGCCTTATCTGTACTATTTACACCCGATGTGTGGGCTCTGAGACGCCGTTCCGTGTTCCAGGCTGCATCCCTTGCTCTTTGGCTAGGGTGCGAGCAACCAAGTGGGACCTAGCCTTTGCTTGGGGCTTTGCCGTTGCTCAAGGTCTGCTGTCCCAACAGTGCTCATCCGGT